CACTCTGTGAAGATGAGGCTTGTGAAATTCATATATATATATTCATATATATATATATGAATTTCATGCACTGGGCATATATATATATATGTATATATATATATATGGCATGATTTCAAATTACTGATATGTCCTTAAAGTCTAAAACTTTCTACATTTGCATTTGTAGTTGCAATTTGTTCCTCCCTTAAAGATTATGTTTATTGATTTTTTTAAAAAGACATGGATGAATTTTTAAAAATATATATTTTTATTAATTTCAGAGAGGAAGGAGAGGGAGAGAGAGATAGAAACATCAATGATGAGAGAGAATCATTGATCGGCTGCCTCGTGCACGTACCCCACTGGAGATTGAGCCTGTAACCCAGGCATGTGCCCTTGACTGGAATTGAACCTGACCCTTCAGTCCGCAGGCTGACGCTCTATCCACTGAGCCAAACCAGCTAGGGGTATTTTTTTCTTTGCATTTATAGAACTTATCTGAAAAATAAAAATAAAATTTTGGAGTGCTTCTGGGCAATTGAAGGCCTTTAGTATAATAACTTTTGAAAAACCCTGAATCTAATTTTTGAACTAGTGTTGGTGGTCAGATACAAATTTCTTTAAGCTCTGTCAGTGTGTTATCCACCACTCATTCTCAATGAAATGCAAGAATTTGAAAGATTAACATGTCACACATGTTTTATGATAATATTTAACTGAATTGTTAGCAATGTCTCTGGAATTATAGGTTTCCTTAAGGAGAATGTTACTTCATCTAAGTTACTAATCTCATAAGAGTACATAGACCTCTTTGAATTTTCCTACTGAGTTTTCCAGTAATGACTGAAAGTTGTTATTCAGTGAGAAACATTGTATGGACCTTATGTGTAACTTTCTTCCCATATTTTTATTGAATAGCCTTTGGGTCCTTTGAGTGCATCAAGCATAATTCTCTGAGAAGAGTTGTATAATACATGAAAGATAACTGGAATTAATCTAATATTATTAAATCAAAATGAGCCTTTTTGAAAAAGAATTATTGGTGTTTGATTCCAAACATAATTAACAATATTCTGGTTGATTCAGGAATGTACAGAGGCCAACTATATCTGCAGTCATCTGTCAGAATTTCAGAAAAGTTTCCTACAAATCCCAAGGCCTTGGAATCTGTTAATAATAAAAATGAAATTATTCCTTTGCCAACAATCAAATGGAAACCCTTAATACGTAAGTGAATTGTAAACTTTTTAAAAGTTTATTAACGTGTTCACAGGGCTGATCATGATGTCTTTGCCCTAGTTTTGACTGTCACAGAGATGACAACATTATATTCTCTGATAAACTAGAAAGATATTTTAGATGTTAATGCATTTTTTAAATCCTCACCTGAGCACATGTTTACAGAGAGGAAGGGGGTGGTGGGAGAGGGAAACATTGATCAGTTGTCTTCCCTATGCACCCCAACTGGGGATCAAACCTGAAATCCAGGTATGTACCCTGACCAGGAATCGAATTGGCAACCTTTCATTGTACAGTATGACACTCAACCAACTGAGCCACTCTGGCTGGGCAGATGTTAATTATTATTTTTTTTTATTTTATTATTTTTAATGTATATTTTTATTGATTTCCAAGAGGTAGAGAGAGAGAGAAACATCAGTGATAAGAGAATTATTGATAAGCTGCCTCCTACACTCCCCTATTGGGGATCGAGCCTGCAACCTGGCATGTGTCCTGATGGGAATTGAACTGTGACCTCCTGGTTCATAGGTCAATGCTCAACCCCTGAGCCATGCTGGCTGGGCAATGAATTTTAATTAGCATTTAGAACACGATTTCACTGAAACAGCAGTTGCTTCACTAGAACGCAATGTTAATAAAATAATTTCTCTGTACAATTTAGAAAAACTTTTAACCATTCACCAACCATGCTTGTGTGTCAGCTCTTAACCTACCTATATCAAGAATATTTATGAAAAAACTATCTGGTCATATTATATTTTTTGAAACATTTAATGAATTAAAAGCAAATACGAGGCTACCTACTTTCTTCAGTTATCTTTTTGTCCCTTATGTATATTTTTTATCACATGCTTTTAATTACTTGTTTATAAGATTCGTCTTCTCTACAAGACTGCTTTTTAAGGGAAAGAACCTTGAGCCATTTGTTTGACTTCCATGTTTGAATTAAATTGTGGTTAAATAGCTGTTTTTTTAATGAATGAGGTACATGCATTTTCATGAAAGTCATAGCGGTTAAGCTTTTACATTTTCTTTTAGATTCTCCTTCAAGAACTCCTATCTTGGTAGGGTCTGATGAATTTGACAAATGTCTTAGTAATGATAAGTTTTCTCATGAAGAATACAGTAATGGCGCACTTTCAATCTTGCAGTATCCATATGGTAAGTGTGATTACGCTTGGATTGAAAATGCTGTTTTGTTTCTAATTTATTTTATGTATTAATTTGAAATTAATTAATAGAATTCAAATGAAAGATAGTCATTTGAGAGGTAGAAAATAAAATACTGTGAAAGGCAATATTGTGAATGTTGGCCAGGGTGTAAACTCCAAAGTCAGTTGCCAGGTTTCAAATTAGTTTTACCACATACTGAGATGGGCACCTAACTTTACTGTCTTGGTTCCTTCATCTGTAAAACAAGGATGGTGACCCTCGTGTCTGTTTCTTGGGGTGTTGTGAGATCTAAGTGAGATAATGCACATATAGTGTTAACACTGTACCTGGCAAATAAGTATTCAGTAAGCATTAGTTCTTCTTACTAGTTATTATTCTATTATCAGCCTGTATAATGTAGTCAATATAAAATTAGTCAGTATAATGAAGAAAACAGGTGTTTGCATAGAGCTATGTGAAAATGCTGTAAAATGAAGTTTTAATTTTGTTTGCAGACCAGATTATTGCAAAAGTCAAGAATAGGTGAACCTTGGCATGAAATACATTCCTATGTATTTAAAATTAGGATATATTTATATACGAAAATCTTTGAACAGTTAGATATAAAAAAAAGCCCTCAATCTGCATTAGACAAAACATAGATTCCTCATCAGTAGCCTTAGATGCTAGGACTGGGAAATGATTGTAGAATTTAAATTGATAAAAACAAAACAAAACAGAGGGCTCTGAACTAGAAACAGTAGCCTTTATCTGATTTGATCAAAATTCCGGGTTAGAGAAAACTGTGTAATCTGCCCACAAAATTCAATATTGGAGACAAACTCAGCGTGGAATGAACCAAGGAGTAAAATAGAGTTGTTTTCCTTCCAGCCTGTGAGGAATGATTCATGGTAAAATCTGGCATTTGATTGACACTAAATGAAAGTAAAGTTTAAAATCCTTCAAGGAAGTTGAGTACTGTCTAATTCTTTTCTTGCATTTAAAGGATTTAATTATTAAGGAGGTAATCAGTGGGATGCCCCTTACATTTTTTCTAGCTTTATTATTCAGTATAAAGAAAATTTATGATGCTTATGGAATAAAGGAAAATATATTTGCATAATAAAAAAGAAAAAATCAGATAAATGAGGCTATCAAATGTGTTAAAGAAGAAATGAGACTTTTACTAAAGGAATTAATGTTATAAGTCATGGGAAAATTGATAATTTTTAGTAAATAAAGATGAATCTACTTTGGTTTATCTTTTTAAAAATTAAAACAACCTTTTAATGTTTGTTTTTGCAGATAATGGTTATTATCTACCATACTACCAGAGGGACAGGAGCAGACGGAGCATAGGGAGCACCCAGATCACAGTCCGAGTTCTGAAGAGCCCAGACTACAGCAAGAATGTCCGCAGAAAGGACCCTGTTCTCCTCCTACACTGGTGGAAAGAAATAGCCGGGACTATTCTGTTCTGTATCATAGCAACAACTTTTATTGTGCGCAGACTTTTCCATCCTCATCCTCACAGAGTAAGACATATTTTAGAATCTAATTTATTTCAGCATTGGGAGTTTCAAAACCTAAATGTGTGTATTTGGGGGGTACATTTACTTAAGTTTTACTATAAAGTCATTGTTTCCCACATGCTGTTTCCACTTCCTTATCTTTCGTTTATTCCTCAACCATTGCAGTCTGGCTCCCATCTGTTTCATTTCCCTTCCATTTCACAAGGTAGATGTGGTGTTTTGTGTTCTTATAATGCTTTTCTTTTTCTCAATATTATTTATTTATTTTTCAATGTTATTTTATAGCTTAAGGTAATTAGCTAACTTTAATTCAGATTTGTACTAATACTGATGTCTCCCCTCCCCCCACCTTATCAGCAAAGGAAGGAATCTGAAACTCAGTGTCAAACTGAAAGTAAATATGATTCTGTAAGTGGAGAAGCTAATGACAGCTGGAATGACATAAAAAATTCTGGATATATATCACGGTAAGAGTCTTGTCATAAAATATGTATGTATGCTGTAGCTTCTGGTGGCGACTATTTGGATCTAAGAAATGACCTACAAAGTAAGATCTTGTTTAACTATTTTTTTAATGTGTGAATAGGTAAATAAAATGTAGACTTAACCCTCAAGTCACTTAAACTTATTCAAACGAGCATCAACCTATGAACCAGGAGGTCACGGTTCAATTCCGGTTGGGGCATATGCCAATAGGGGGCGTGCAGGAGACAGCTGATCAATGATTCTGTCTCATCATTGATGTTTCTATCTCTCTCTCCTTCTCCCTTCTTCTCAAATCATTAAAAATATATATTTAAAAACAAAGTGGTATGTACCCTAAAATGGATAGAAATAGAGTGTTACAGAAGTTTAACTGCTAGTTTTTTTTAAAAATATTTTTTTATTGATTTCAGAGAGGAGGGGAGAGGGAGTGAGAGATAGAAACATCAATGATGAGAGAGAATCATTGATCGGCTGCCTCCTGCAGACCCCACACTGGTGATCGAGCCCGCAAGCCAGGCACGTGTCCTGACGGGGAATCAAACCATGACCTCCTGGTTCATAGGTTGATGCTCAACCACTGAATCATGCTAGCTGGACTTAACTGCTAGCTTCTTCTTCTTTTTTTTTTTTAATATATTTTATTGAGTTTTTACAGAGAGGAAAGGAGAGAGATAGAGAGTCAGAAACATCGATGAGAGAGAAACATCGACCAGCTGCCTCCTGCACACTCCCCACTGGGGATGTGCCCGCAACCAAGGCACATGCCCTTGACCGGAATCGAACCCGGGACCTCTCAGTCCGCAGGCCGACGCTCTATCCACTGAGCCAAACCGGTTTCGGCAACTGCTAGCTTCTTAAAGTAAAATTTACTAAGTGACCAACGAATGGTAAGGGTTTTAAGACACTTGCTAATGAAGATGTTGACTATTGTGTTAGTGGCCAGCAGTACCAGTAGGCAGTGAGAGAAGGGGTGGAGAACGAGGGATCCAACAACTCCCGATGGGTAATCTGCCATGGAGCCATTCATTGTTTATTCAGCATTTACTCTGAACACTGTGCAGGGCAGTATTTCAGGCTTTGAGAGAAATAGAAAGACTGAGCCTATCTTGGAGAAACTTAAAAATCTATGGGGGAGATAATACTGGGTAAAAAAAAAAAACAAACATATGAGAAAAAGTCATGAGTTACGTGACTAACTCTGGTTGTGACAATTGATTGAAACACAGCAATTAAGATAAATGAGTTTGTGAATAGTTCTATGTCTGCATGCTATAATGTGGAACCCCAAACATTTTGCCAAGCTTTGCTGCTTATTTTTATTTTTTCCAGATAGGGAGGGAGAGGGAGAGAGAGAGAGATAGAAACATCAATGATGAGAGAGAATCATTGGTCAGCTGTGAGGCCACATTTTAATTGAACTTTAAATCATAAGTAAGAGTTAGGTGGATAGAGACAGGAGGAGGAGTGAGGTATGGTGTACAAATATATTTGTAAGGCTGTTGGGAAGAGAATTAGAGTAATGTATTCTAAAGTTGAATGACTTAATTTTCCTTTAATGTTACTCATTTTGAAGAGTAGAGCTGATTTTTTAAAAAAATATAGGAGCTGTGTAATAATACCTAATGTATGTTGACTGTAAACTATATTATTTTATTTATTTTTATTTTTTTTATTTTTTTATTTTTTTTATTTAAGTCTTTTTTACAGAGAGGAAGGGAGAAGGATAGAGAGTTAGAAACATCGATGAGAGAGAAGCGTCAATCAGCTGCCTCCTGCACACCCCCTACTGGGAATGTGCCTGCAACCAAGGTACATGTCCTTGACGGGAATCGAACCTT